TGAGGGCTTAATCAAACTGGCTAGTTGTATTTGATTGTCATAAGATGAGCTCAAACGGTATATAGGACAACTCGGGATATATACCGAAACAATATAACATATTTGGATATGCTACATATGAGCTTTCAGGTTTCGAACAAACTATATGTAAATACCTCGATCAACATCTCTTCCAGTTTTTCCTCAGTAATTTCATACTCGGATTTCTCCTTAGGAGGAAGGATACCCTTTTTGCGTAGAACATCATTCCACTCGGTATCAGCATTGGGATCATCCATGGTATACGTGTTTAAAGGTTGGTGTGATGCTCGGTAGAAGATTATGTTTTAAAATACCTCAAAGTGATTATATATTATGTATATATCCACAATTCCACACACTTTTAAATCCACCACAACAACTGATAAACAATCGGGCGTGTCGTCCTGAATGGCTGAGCCGCTCAATGTGAGTCGGATGCGAATGCCGATTGCTGGAAGTGCGAACTATTAAGTACCGAACTGTAATTTTGGTTCAGATGATGCGGCATATCATCATCATTTTTTATTCACATACATATTTTTTCATACAAAAATATTTTACACACATCACGGATTCATGTATTTATTTTACACGGTGTATTTTGTAGTCACAAATTATATTTTCCAGCGTTTGCACAGAAATGCACACCCGCTTGATTCAGAGGCGGCATGGCGCTATCACAGTCAGATACGTCAATAATAACCCTCAGCTTCCTGATCGACTGACTGTGCTTTAGGTAGAAATGCGGCTTGTTTTAGCGAACCTCGATTCACGACTATCCTCTTACACATCGACTCACGGCAAAACCAAGAAGGGCGTTGCATACAGAGAACGACATACGTACACACACACATACACATACACACACACACATATATATATATATATATATATAAATATATCTATATTTATTTATGTGTTTATGTATGTATGTATGTATGTACGTATGTTTGTATGAAAGAATGAATGTACGTATGATGAAAGTATTTATGTGTATATGTATTGTATGTATTTCTGTATGTATATATGTATGTATTCGTTAATGGATGCGTGTATGTATGTGTATTTGTACACGTATGTTTGTATATAGTTTTGTTGTGCATGTATGTTGGTATATATATATAGTATGTTGGTATATATATATATATATATTATACATAGACATACTAATTATATACACAT